GTGGATAAATCTAAGGTAGACCTTGTTCGTCACTTACCCTCTCCAACTTCGGTTAGAGAGGTTCGTTCGTTCTTGGTCGCAGGTTTTTATAGGCGTTTCATAAAGGATTTCTCCAAGATTGCACAGCCATATGCCGATTGCTCCAAAAAGAGGTGGTGTTCGATTGATGATGCATGTTCCACGGCCTTCAAGCACTTGAAGGAAGCTCTCACTTCGGCTCCCATTATCACACCTCCAGATTGGAGCCTTCCATTCGAGTTGATGTGTGATGCTTCGGATTATGCCATTGGTGCTGTTTTGGGGCAACGAAAGAACAAACAACCTCATGTTATTTATTATGCATCCAGGACACTAAATGATGCGCAATTAAATTACTCAACCACTGAAAAAGAATTACTTGCTGTGGTATTTGCATTAGATAAGTTCCAATCATACTTACTTGGTACTAAAGTTATTATCTTTACTGATCATGCAGCTCTCAAGTATTTGCTCACGAAAAGGAGGCCAAGCCTAGACTAATTCGTTGGATGTTGCTTCTACAAGAGTTTGACATTGAGATTCGGGATAAGAAGGGCGTGGAGAATGTGGTGGCTGACCACCTAAGTCAAATGGTGCATGAGGAAGCATCGCCAATTTCTGAAACCTTCCCCGATGAGCAACTACTGTCGATCCAGGTAAGTGAGCCTTGGTATGCAGATTTAGTGAACTTTTTGGTGTCTAAACATATCCCTAGCACACTTAATAGGAATCAAAGTGATAAGCTTAAAAGGATGCTAGGTTTTATGTTTGGGATGATCCATACCTTTGGAAATTTTGTCCCGATCAGATTGTACGACGTTGTGTGAATGAATATGAGTTTCAATCTATTTTAACATTCTGTCATTCGTATGCATGTGGGGGACATTTTGGCACCCAACGCACTGCCCTTAAAGTCTTAGAATGTGGGTTTTATTGGCCAACCATTTTTAGGGATGCTAGGACATTTTGCCTTACATGTGATCGTTGTCAACGAATGGGTAATATAAGTGCTAAGGATCAAATGCCACAAAACCCTATACTTTCTGTTGAAATATTTGATGTGTGGGGCATTGATTTTATGGGTCCTTTTCCTTCTTCGTATGGGTTTCTTTATATCTTTTGGCGGTGGATTATGTTTCCAAATGGGTGGAAGCAAAAGCCACCCGACTAATGATTCAAAGTGGTTGCAGATTTTGTAGAAGTCTAACATTTTTGCTAGGTTTGGAATGCCCCGAGTCCTCATAAGTGACGGAGGTTCACATTTTTGCAATCGGACCATTCGAAGCGCTGCTCAAGAAGTATACATGTCACACATAAGGTTTCGACACCCTATCATCCTCAAACAATGGGCAAGCCGAGGTTCGAATCGGGAGATCAAGCAAGATTCCTTGAGAAGACGGTTGGGCCAACAAGGAAAGGATTGGAGCTTGAGGTTAGAGGATGCACTTGTGGGCTTATCGGACGGCCTACAAAACACCCATTAGGCATGTCCCCATTTCGGCTTGTCTATGGCAAACCGTGCCATCTACCTGTGGAGTTGGAGCACAAAGCTCTTTGGGCCGTGAGGAAGTTCAACATGGAATCGTAGATGAGCAGGAAGTCAATCGTAAGCTGCAATTGAACGAGCTTGATGAGATACGGAATGAGGCGTACGATAATGCTCGCATTTACAAGGAAAAGACAAAGGCCTTTCATGACAACATGATCCGCACCAAGTCCTTCTCAATTGTTGGACAGAAAGTGCTGTTGTTTCAATTCTCGTCTTACGTCTATTTCCCGGTAAGTTACGTTCTAAGTGGATTGGACCCTTTGTTATTACTAATGTTTTTCTCATGGTGCCAGTCCAAGTTCAAAGTTTCAAAACAGGTCAAGAATTCAAAAGTGAATGGGCACCGTTTGAAGCCATATTATGAGAACTTTGTTAGAACATGTTGTGGAAGAAACAACCACTATGTGCCGTGGGTTCCCATGAGGGTTGATCAAGTGGGCTTTTCGTCCGGCTGCAAGACGTAAAAGAAAGCGCTACTTGGGAGGCAACCCATGCAATTCAACAAAGGAAGACCAAGGAATCACTCCAATTCCAGATTTGCGTTCCTAAACCTTCTCTTTGTTGTTTACGAATCTGCCTATTTAGTTGTGTTTAGTTGCTGTTTGTTTGTGTTTCTTTTTGTTTAGTGTTAGTTTATGCTTGAAACATTGAGGACAATGTTTGATTTAAGTGTGGGGGGGTAAACAATAAGTGTTTAGCATGCAAATTCGTGGGATTTTATCACCCTATAACTTCAAATGTTGTTTCTTGCTGTTTTTAAAGTGTTTTTGAGCATGTTTTGAAGTGTTTTAGTGTGTTTTGACATAAAATCCGAAAATCTACATAAAAATTTGAAAAATTTGTTTTGAAAAAACCCAAAAAGAGTTGTTTTTGTGTGTTTGTTTGTGTCTTAGGGTACCTTCCAACACAATGATGAGGATTTGGTTTTTAATTACATGGCTGTTAAAGAGAGTGATTAACATGGATGAAAGTTTGATTTACTCTTTGTTTATGCTTAGTTGTGGTTATAACTCATGAATTCACATGCAATCATAAAAGGAAAAATCAGTTTTTGTAACATGCTTGAAGGAAGGAACTCAAACTAACGCTACAACCTTGTGAGACTTGAGCCTAAACGTTTATTTGGAGAGTTAAAATCTGTGCATTCTTTGTTTTCTAAGTCGTTGCATGATCTCATTATTCTTTGCTTGGTTGCTACTTAGAAGGCGTTTCATCATTTAGTTCCAAATGCTAGAACTCATGCCCATTTCATTCAAAGCATGAAATTGATTTGCATAACACATATTCAAGATGAAGTTGTGTAGTGACCACCACTTAGAGCCAAAAAGCCGTGTGCCCTATCACATGTTTGTAGGTTAAAACCCGTTGAGCCTTGTTTTAGCCCTTTTCTTTGTTAACCCACATTACCCTCACCTAGCCTAGATTAGGACCATCCATACCCTTGTTCTTGAAGCATAGTAAAGCATGATTCAAATTGAATTCCTTTTGATTATGTTGGCAGAAAACAAGTGTGGGGGAAGTTTTTTCATGTGTGGTTTGTGTGCCATAGGCCAAAAAAGAAAAGAAAAAAAAAATAAGGAAAGCATGAAAAGTTGAAAAAGAGTTCCAAATGTTTTGTGTTGAAGAAAGGGTCCAAAACGTTGAATTGGCCCTAAGAGTTGTTTATGAATCTTCCCCTTGTGTGTTTAAAGTTAATTTCTGCAATTCTAAGTGAATTCTAAGTCTCAATTTCATTGCTTTGCTTACTATTGCTTGAAGAACGTTTGTTTTCCCTTATCCTTTCCTTGTTAAGCCAATACCCCAAGCCCCATTACAACCCTTAACTTCTATCTTGAGTGTTATGTGTTTCAATTTGTGGAGTTTGAATTTGGTATGAGCATATGGTGTCACTGGTTCTCGCATCTAAGTAGTAGCATTCCATTCATGAGATCATATCTAAACATGCTTCTTAACTCTAGAAATTGCGTTCTTTGTGAATACATATATGTGAGCATTCGTTTTCATATCTACATCAATCTTCTCACATATGACTAGTGTAGGGTGTGGAGTTAGAAAATCTGAGTGAAAATAGAGTGTATATCTTGTAAGGAATTGAGGGAATTCTCTAAGGCATGTTACTACATTCAAAGCATTGTTTTAATTGATTACTTGTGAACTAGTAAGTAGTGGCTTTAATTAAGTATGTGCTTGTGTAAAGATGACTCAAATCTGTGGGGATAACAATCTTTAACATGTCATGTGCATTGGAAATCCCTGAGGCAAACGTTGGAAGGTTTAGGTTTTGTTTTGGTTAGTTTGTTTTCGTTTTGTTTTCCTTTCCTTTTGTTTGTTTTGCTCGAGGACTAGCAAAAGCTAAGTGTGGGGGAATTTGATAGGAGCATATTTATGCTACTTAATTGGCTTGTTCTCATGCATTTAGGTTGTGTTTACTTAGCTATTTTAGTGTTTAAAGTCACTTTTGTGTGTTTTCAGGTTCTAAGGTCAAAGTGTGCAAAAAGAAGCAAAATGGAGTTTGGAATGCATGTCACATATTTGGAGCCAAGGTTTGGACGAATTTGAAGGCTTGAAGATGAGATTCTACTTGAACAAGGTTTCCTAGTTGAAGTAGGAAAAGTGCTTACATGAAGGAGGATTCCTAATGAACGAAAGGATTCCTAATTGACGAGGATTCCTAATTGAAGATGGATTCCTAATCACATGAGGATTCCTAGAAGAACAAGGATTCCTACTCCAACAAGGATTCCTACTTGAAGTAGGAAAGTTAAGCCAAGGTTTCCTACTTTGGTTTGATTTTCCTAATTGTCCCTAAAAGTTCCAGCAATTATGAAGATTTTCTAAGCATTCTAGGACACAAAACAAAAGCCTAGAACCCTTATGGACCCCTTGCCACACTCCTTGCCCTTTCTCTTCCTTGCCGTGCAAGGGAGAGGGCTCTTTCCAGTTTTGGAGCATTAAAACACCTTCCTTTTATTGCTTTAAACCCTGGCCGAATTTCCTTGACCTTTCCTTTTAATTTTTCTGATTTGTTTCCTTAATTCTAGAAGCTTTAAACTTAATTCCTGATTACCTAATTAGCCTAGGGTTTTTAATTTCCTAATCCCTTTAAATAAACAGGTTTGTGCAGCCACAAACATCACCATTCAGCCACACACTCTCCCAAATTCGTCAAAACCCATCCACAACCTCAGAAACCATTCCTCCTCCATCTCTGCCGATTTCCACCACCATTCTTCATATCCACACCTTCCACACAACAACACCACACCACCATCCCCAAGCCTTGCCGTGCCTCTATACCATCCATAATCCATTCTACATCACAAAAACAGCCCAGAAACCACACCATCCCAATCTGCCGCAAGGGGAAGAGAAGGAGACAGTTCACAAAGTTGTTTGGCTCTTCAATCTGAGTTGTTGAACAATTTTAGGTGGTATTCTATCTTATATTTCAATGTCTACTTCTTGTAATCTTTGTTTTTCATTGAGTATGATTGGCTAAATTCGTTTTGGCTAAGGGTGTATTCGAAACCATGTTTATTTATGTGAAATAAGTTGATTACTTCCAGTTATCGTTGCATAAGTCGTGAATACAATTTTGCTTAACCGTTTAATTCAAAACTTATTCTTGTATGTTGATTGAGAGTGCACGCTTGATTTGCATGCTGGAATTTGGTGCTAGAATATAAGTTTGTTACACCTAATCGTTATGAATTTATATTCGCAAGTAGTGAAGATCGCTAGTCACGATCGTGTTAAGTAGATTCATGGCAGGAGTATCATGCTTTTCATAGTTACAATTGCCTTGTCGATGCTTATGATTTCCAAAGAACTTAATGATTCTAACTTGTATCTTTATCATGCTGTTCATATAGAGAACTTGTTAGGAATAATTTGTTTGCGATGCATATTCATCCAATTCAATGATTCTAGGGAAATCTGAAAGTTAATTTAAGCGGACCTAATTAACTTGGAGTGTCGAGGTTCATAACTTATTGAATTGATAACTGGAAATCGATTACGTTGCATAAATTTCATGTGTGGAGAAGAACCCCTTAGCCATTCCATCACCCATTGATTCATCACATTTAGTTTACAATCTGTTTTAATTTACAATCTGTGCATTTAGTTCAAATTCGTCCAAACACAATTCCCCCATATTTTGTTAAGTTTGAGTCTTCATAATCTGTCCTCTTTGGTGTTTTTAAGTATTTTGAGTCATAAGTTTTGTAAAATTCGTCCCAAATCTTGTCTTAGTTGCTGTTTGAGTCAATTAACTTGTTTTAATCAGTTTTGGGCAGATTTGAGTGTTTCAAATCTGTTTTGAATCTTAGTAGTCTAATTAGAGTCTTTAAGTTTAGTTTTTGTGTTTCTAAGTCAATTTGTATTAGATTAGCACCCCTAGTTAATCCCCGGTTAGAACGATCCCTACTTACATCATTACTACAATTGTCACAAATAGGTTTAATTTGTGTGTCAAGTTAATTTTCACATCAGGGATGAAATTGACGAGTTGAAGATTTGAGGTTTCCTACTTGAAGTAGGAAAGCTAAGCCTAAAAGTTTCCATTTTGGGTTGATCTTTCCTAAACCGGAATGGCCTTGCGTTTGAGCAACATTAGAAGGTTCCGAAGCGTTGGAAGACACAAAGAAAGGTGTTAGAATATTTTCTCATCCTTGCCGTGGGTTAGGGCTTAGTTTCTCTTGGTTTTGGGCTTTTTAGAAGCCCTATCCACACTCCCACTAACCAGCCGCACCTTTCCATTCTAGAAGCCCTATTTACAAACCCTAACCCTAGCCCACTTAAGCAGCCGCACCCTAGGCTTTTTCCCATGCAAAAATCTGATTGTTTAACCTAATTCCTTGTGGATTTTTAACCCTAGCCGCACCTAAACCCTAGCCCATGGTCTAATCTGATTTCTTTAGGGTTTAGGTGCCTATATATATGTGTTTTACATCCTTGCCGCAGGAGCTCTCTCCACAATTCAGAAAATAGAAAAACCAGCCACTCCCATTCCTTGCCGCAGCCACCATCACCCTAATACCTCTTAGCCGCCACTTCTCCATCCATTCCAGCAACCTTCCATCCTTGCCGCAACCATTCTACACCTCCATACACCACCCATACCCCTTGCCGCACCACCATACTATCCTAACTCCCTTCCAAAACCAAAATCACATCCAAAAATCCCCTAAACCCTCTCTGCCGCAGCAAGGAGAAGAAGAAAGAGGAGCTTGACGTGCAGAAATTCAAAGTGGAATTGTTGGGCGTTTTAGGTGTAATCTTTCTTATGTCTTCGATGTTTCAATTCAATAAACTTTGTGTTGTGAGTATGAGGAACTAAACCCCCTTAGTTGGGGGGTAATTCGAAACCATGTACATGCTTGCAATATGATTTGATTACATTCAGTTGTTATTTCATAAGTTGTGGATTCAATTCGTTCATCTATTTGTTTGATAACTGTTG